AAGATGTCTGGAAGTTTACAGAAATGGAACCATATTTTTTCCATTTTTCTACATTTTATTAGATTCTTTTACATTTTAGTTGTCAAAAAATTAGCAATGCTGGTGCTATCATTTTGTGAATTTTGTTTGACCTATCAAAACATTGTTTAAACGTCAAAGCTTTTGCAGGGGTATTCTACACATGATGAGGTATTGTGATGTATTTTTGTGGGAATTTTATTGTACCATTTTAATTGGTTTTGGATGCTTTCTTTAACATGCTCCATTTTAATCTTTCCTTTGGTATACATGAGATATCTTGCATTGTTTTCATCTTGTTTGACCATTTCCTTGTGGATATTTTTATGGTATCTCTCACCACTGGTTTGTGGATTGATGTAGGTAATAGGATATTTTTATTTGATTTTTTTAGCACCTTTTGCTATTTTTCTTATGTTTTGTATTCGAACTTGTAATTTGGACTTCCGAACGGACTTTATTTTTGTTAAGGCTCCAACGGCCGATTTGTGTTTGCGTGGTGAACGCCGTGGTTTATATTTCTTATTATAGATAGGTTAGAGGTATTGGAAGACCCCTTAGGTGGCTGTTATTTGTATGTGTATCTTGCCCAATTATCGACTTGTTTGCATGATAGAACGTTGTGATTCCAAATAGTGGATTACGCGTTTCATTCGGAGTTTTCACTCGATTCTTTGCATATGATCACTTGATATTTTCTTATTCCATCCATGAATGGGCTTGAGGTTGAGACGGACCGTCCTCCCTCCTTTGCATTGCATTTACCATTGCTATATTCATGTTCACTTGTATGCGGTTATTACTTGTATTTCCGTTTCTTCCTTTCGTTTTCCTTTCCCGTAGGACTTCCATTCTTCCTTGTTCAAGGGAGGATGTGATAGACATTAGGAGCTAACCCATGTATGATAAAATTAGGGTAGATTTTATCCCCTTTTTTAACCCTAGGATTTTAGAGTGTCATCTCTTCTTTCTTCAAACAACAGAAAAACATTAATAAAGGTTATAATAGAAATCAATTCATTTCTTCCGTCAAAAGATTTGAACAAACACAAACCCTTTTGCAATAAGAAAACCCGTGTCTAAGGTGAGATTTTTCATAAAAGACACTCGAACAGCTTGTGTCGTGCGTAGCCCGAACTACGTTTGCTCTGACCTTCCATGCAGTTTGGAAGTACGTAGGCATAGGATGCAATATCCTAGCGAGCAACCTTCCCCACCTTCACCCGTAGTTAGGCGAACTACGTTGACTCTGATTTCTCGTTCCAGACGGGAATACGTAGGCATAAAGTGCGATGCTTTACCGAGTCATGTTTTCTTTTCTTTTCAGACCTCATCCTTTAGTTTAGATAGAAGTGTAATCCGTACAAACCAAGCAAGCATGGATCCCATCGAGTACGATGGACGTGAGGGGTGCTAATACCTTCCCCTTGCGTAACCGACTCTCGAATCCAGGTTTTGGTTGCGATGACCATACCTTTTCCCGTTTTTGCGTTAGGTTTACTTCGAGCGTTTACTTTCCCTCCTTTGGGATAAATAACGCACGGTGGCGACTCTTCTGTATTGCCGGCGCCGATTTTCGCAGTAGCGACAACAGGGTCTTATCTATCCCTCCTTTCCTGTATCCATTTGTAGTAAGAAATTCAGTCAATCTCTCATACCATGCTCCAGGGGCTTGTTTCAATCCATACAGTGCCTTCCTTAACTTGTATACATGGTCTATCAAGTTAGGATCCTCAAATCCCTTGGGTTGTGCTACATATACTTCCTCATTTAGATATCCAGTCAAAAATTCAGTTTTCACATCCATTTGGAATAGTTTGAATTTTAGAATGCAGGCAATTCCTAACATTAGCTTGATAGACTCAAGTCATGCAACTGGTGCAAAAGTTTCATCAAAATAAATTCCTTCTACTTGAGTATACCCCTATGCCACCAGTCTAGCCTTGTTTCTAACTACAATTCCTTGTTCATCTGATTTATTCTTATAAATCCATTTGGTGCCAATGATGTTTGTTCCCTCAGGTCTTAGCACCAGTTCCCATACTGCATGCCTTTTAACTTGTTCCAATTCATCTTGCATGGCCTTGATCCATTATTCATCAGTTAAGGCTTCCTTCACATTTTTGGGTTCAATCTTGGATACAAAACATGAATTTGAGATGATTTCTCTAGCTCGGGTCCTTACACCACTGGTGGGGTCTCCAATGATAAGATCTTTGGGGTGATCTTTTAGGATTCTGATGGAGGGATCTTTGTTGGGAATTTCAGATGCAGATGTCGCGGTGAAATTTGGATACCAAACTATTAATTAGTTTGAATCTTTATTCATTTGCAACCGGTCTTTGATTTGTTCAAAGGAAGGGATAAAGATCGAAATTCCCACAATGCAATGCAAATGCAAGGTTTAGAGAGTTTTAGGTTCAGGGGTTGGTTAAACTTAGGGAAGGTACTAGCATCCTAAGTTTCTGTAGTACTCTACAGGAACCTCTTGTTTTTATGTTATTTATTGCTAAGTTATTTGCTTAAGGTTAAAGACCTAAGGGGTTTATTTCTAAGTATACTCGCCAAGATGTCGCATATTGTGTCTACATATCCTGACGGGAATGGAATCAGAGTATCTGTAGTTCCCCTAAAGGGTTAGAGGAGTTCTTTGACTGTGGTCAAAGTTCCTACGGGTTTAGGGTAGTTGTTTTGATTAGGTTTAGGAGAAGAGATGTGTTGTCATTTTAAGGGAGATGTAACCACCAAAGGTGTAAGAAATTGTATTGTTGTGGGATGGAGATTCTATCTCGCTTAGGATGATTAACATCTTTCTCTGTTGTGTTTGAAATAATTGTATTGTGTTGTTGATTGTTTTTGTTTCTATGTTGTAAAGAGAGACAAGGTCCTGCTTATGGGGTAGGATCTATCTTAAGCGGTCGACTTGAATGGGATCAAGGATCAAGGGGAATATGATGCAAATGGATATGCAATACACACAAGTGTTTAATTTATGTGTAGGTTCTTCCTTTTGGACGTGGGTAAGCGAAAAAGGTAAGACAAATGATAATTGAGCAATGATTAGCCATGAATTAGGGGAAATGATTAAGTGGAATTGGTGAAATTGTTTTTGGGAATTTTGAGAATGTTTTGAATTAAAATTAAGTCTAAATTAAGATATTAAAATTGACTAAGTGAATAAGGGAAAGATTAGCTTAATCCCAAATTAATAAAATTACTTATTTCTAAGGGAGGGGAATTAATTATAAATTAGCAAAAGATTAATGTTCTAAGTTAAAGAGAATAAATTGTTTTTTGAATTTTTTTGATAAAATAGATATTTATATATTTTCAAATTCTTAAGAGGGGAGGAAGGTTAACTTGAATTTCTCGAATTTAAAATTTAAAAAGCTAACTAATTAAATTAAATTTTAATTACTTTATTTTTGGTAAAAAAGAAAGTTAATCAATTAGTCGTTTATTTTAAAAGTTTATTTTTTAATAAAATATTTTTTGATTGATTTTTATTAAATTAGTTTGTTAGTAGCGGTTATTGTTAGTATAATCAGTGGTTAGTTTGTTTTATTAATAATAAACAATTATTACATTAAAGTAAACAAAAAAATTAAAACTAAAAACTTAAAATAGAGACTAACGGATGGGCTGGGGCGACGAAATCCCCAGACCCGGTCCAGTTAATCGAAGGAGGGGGAAGGGATTTCGTTGGAAACCCTAGATTCGAACCAGGTGTCCCTCGTCCTCATCTCCTTTCGTTCTTTCTTCTTTTCCAATTTCTCTGCCATGTTTCTTCTAATACTTCAACCACCTTTCTTCATCGTTCACTTTGCCCTTCTTGTTTCCCATCGTCTTCCCTTCCACTTCCTACATAAACCAAACAAAGAACAAAGTTAAATTGTTAGGAAAAAATATTCATGGTTAAAAGTGGTTCAGGTTTTCTTTTGATGGCGGCTCGCAGGGAGGGCAGGTTTGGATGGCGATGGCGATTTGCGGAAGGTTTCTGGTGGTTCTGTGGAAACGAAGAGGGTTTGAATGTGGGTCGCGAATAGGTGTCGTCGGCGATGCAGATAAGTATTCTTCCCTCCACTTTTAGGTTTTTTTTTCGAAATTAGGATTTCGTGTGTTTGTCTTGAGGATGGCTGGGAATTTTTATGTTTCTATGAATATCGTCCTCTCCTTTTTTTGAGATTTCTGACATGGTCTTCTTATATAGGCTTGCAGGGTGCAAAGTGGATTGAAGAGTAGCTATGAAGTTTCCATTCTGGACGGATCGTATTGGGACCATTTAGGAAGGTAATGTTAATGCTTATAATTCTGTTAAGAAAGTTTCTGATTTTTGTTTGATTGTGTTGGAACCTGGTCAGACCTACTGCGCTCTTATTTAGTTACCAATTGATTGTGTATTTATGAGTTTCCTTTTACAAATTTAACAGGTTTATAATGCCCTTGCCAAAACAAGAATTGTTGTCATAACTACTGCTACAATCCTGTGGATGCGTGACTCAGATATTTCCATATCCCAATTCTCCTTTAGTCGACCCAATACTGTCAACATCTTGAAGCAAACTTGTTAATTTCAAATGATTACGAGACCACTGCGATTTAACACGGCAAAACAGTTCGAAAGAGACCAGTCTCTTGGTTTAACCGCGACAGTAATAAATATAAGCATTTTCTAGTCTTCTTCTCTAATTCGTCTTGTTATGATGTTGTTTTGCTGGCTTCGTAAAATTGTTGTTGCATTGATGCAGGCTGTCGATAATGACTTGGTATTTAATCTCTGTGTATAGCCCGTGGCAGTTTCCGTCATAGCAGATTTCCCTGCTTGCTTTTACCAACAGATGAATCTCTGGAAATAGATTGACTTGGGACATTCCTACCTTCATTTTCAAACCATTCTCTCAGTGTTTCTGTACCGTTTTCATGATGGAAGTTGTGGGACTATAGCGATCACATCCTCAATACTGTTAGTTTCAATACTCTCGATGTCACCAATAGAACGGAAGTTATATATTTGCTGTGGAATTGAATTATCGTCTTCGGGGCATGGCCGTATATCCGATGTGGCATCCAGGGTTATCTCTTGGTCATTAAGAAGGTGATTAAAATTTCTCTGAGCTGCTTTTAAAGTTCTTTGAGAAACCACATAAACTTCCCTACTTCAATTAGGCTATAGAACTTATCAGCCACCGCACTAAAGCAAGTCGACTGTATTTCTTCACCTTCAGACTCAAAAGAAAATACTTTTCCCTTACCTTGGGTATTGTTATAGAGCCTAAGTTCACCCTTAGCAGTTACTCTAGCTTTAATTGTCCATGTATTTTGATAGGGATTCAATGCAGATATTGGAATTATTCTTGGGGGGAGCATCATTTCTTCCCATAGGACCTCTATTGGCATATGGAGTTGGCTGTCTGGCGTTTGCTGAGGTAACTTTGCCTTATCAGCATTGTGATCTGGTGTTTTATGCGGTAAGCACTTGTTAACAGCACAACCTTTTGGATTTTGATTTGATAAGTGCATTTTATCAGCCAAGTGTTTTGTCTCTTGATGTGATAAACACATTTTATCTTCATAATGTACCAGGGATTGATGAGGCATGTGCTTTTTATCAGTACAGTCAACCGTTTGATATGGCGAGTGCCTCTTATCAGCATAGTGTGTCGGTATTGGGTGTGGTATGCGCTTATTATCAACATAGGTGTTGCGGTTAGAATATGATATCAAATTATTAATTAATTTGAATCGCATCTTTAGTTCACAACCGCTCTTTGATTTATCCGAAGGAAAAGGTCAAAAGAGGAAAACCTAATTTTGCATCGTAAAGACAATGCGGGGAGAGATCTAGGTAAGGGGTTGGTTAAGCTTAGGGAAGGTACTAGCACCCTAAACTTCTGTAGTACTCTACAGGAACCTTTTATTTATTGTATGCTTTTTTATTTTATTATCTATTTGAAATATATTGCTAAGGGATATAGTGACCTAAAGACCTAAGGGTTAGTCCTAAGTTTACTCGGCAAGACGTCGCATCTTGTGCCTACATATCCTGACGGGAATGGAATCAGAGTAATTGTAGTTCCCCTCGAAAGGGAGGTTAGAAACGTCTTGACTGTGGTCAAGGTTTCATTGGGGAGTAAGCGTTCATAGGGAAGCGCCTACGGGGAGTCTTTGGAACTCCTATTTCTATGTTGAATTTGTAATTGAAAATTTAGGGTTGAAATTAGGGATTCTACGGCGGGAAACCCTAAAGCAGAGTACGGCGGCTCTTTGACCTAAAAGCTAGGGTAAAGGGTGTTTTCGTCCACGGCGGGACGCTTAAACTATTAGAGTTTGAAACGGTCAAAAATTAGGGTTATTGACTCGGCGGTCAAACGGCTAGACCTAATCCTTCGGAAGGAATCCTAACAGTAAAAACATGCAAACAGACAAAATATCGTACGACCGAATTAAAATGCGGAAAAATAAAGAAAGCGGTAAAAGAAGCATCGCGACGATCACTCGCGTAAATTACAAATCCCAAAAACAAATGTAAAAATAAAAATAATTGCGATCATGGCCTCGCATAAATTACATCCATGAAACAAAAAAATAGTACGAACAAATGAAATATTGAGGAGCTGCAATGAACAAACTAATGAGGGTTAGACGAAAATGAAGCGGCTAAATCAAAAACTTTATTTTTTTGAATTTTATTTAAAGGGAAGAACTAATTTTTGCATTTAAAAGGAGAACTTAATTTGATTTTAATGTTTTTATTTAAAAAATAGTTTTAATTTGATTAAAAAAATGATTTAATTTTAAGGTTTTTGATGAAAAAAAGTTAGTTTTAATTTTTGTAAAATATTTTAATTTTAATGTTTAAACAATGTTTTAAATTTTAAAGCAAAAAAAAATGTTTTATTTTTTAAAGTTAAAAAATGTTTTTTAAAATTTATTTTTAAGAATTATTTTTAATTTTTAAGTTTTAAATATGAGTCTTAATTTTAAAAACAAGGTTTAATTTTAATTTTATGATTTTAGCTTAAAAAATGGTTTTTTTTTTAATATTTTAATTAACTTAAGTAAACTAAGTTAATGAGATTAACAATTAGAAATATTTTTATTTTAACAGTTTTCATTAACCTGCATTATGAAAATTATATACCACAACAATAATAAAATACTAATAACAATATAATAATAACAAAATAAATAAAAAGAATAGGAGGAAGAAAATTGGAAATAAAAGGGGGATTCGTAGCGGTGGCGGCTCCCTCATTGATGAAGTTTTGAAACTTTTTCTTTTTCTTTTGCAGGGCTATTTTTGCATCTTCTTCTTCCTTTCTTTGCCATAATCTTCTCTTTTTCCTATAAAAAAAAAAAGAATAACAGAAACCAAATGTGATATTGATGAAATCTTACGAGTTACGGTTTGTTGGTGATTCCGCCGGTGATGAAGCTTTGAAGGTTTTTTCAAAAATCTTCCCTCTTCTGATAAATCGTGAGAACGGCCGCCGTTTTTTCTTTTGTCTCCTTCCCCTTGTATCAAATGCAACTCATGTTTATATAGGTAACAAATTAGGGTTAACGCTAACCTAATGCCTATTTTAAAGCCCAAGTTAAATAATTAGTCAAAACTAAAAAAACAAACTAAAACAAACTAAAACAAACTTAAAAGAATAAAATATTTTCTAATATTTTTAACCCTCATTAGAAGGTGGGATTCGAACTCTCGACCTCTCACACTCACAACTCCTTACACACGGTCTCTTGCCAATTGTGCCATTTTATTCATTCAAAATAAAGTGGCACTAGAAACTATGTAAAGGTAGGACAAATTTGGGGTGCAACAGATGCCCCTATTTAAATAGCTTCACCGGATGATTTGAGCAGCGGAGACTCGAGAAATCGCGGTGAAAGGGATTTAAATACAGATAACCGGAAATTTGGCCCCTAGATGCAGTGATATGCAATGATATGGACAAAATAACACGAACTATAATGCTGACAATGCCATGAATCTAATATGATGCGTATGATGGAATGATGAATGCAAGGATGCAGACGACACGACGTCATAGGGGACAGCGCAGCGAAGAATTGCACTGGGGAAGAAGACACGCGGTGGTGACAAGGTAACATAGGATCCACACGGAGGCAGGACCAGGTAAACGACAGACGCTAGAGTTTTCGGGACATTCCTTGAAGAGATCGAGCGGGATCTTCAGGACTCACCAGAAAACATATAGGGAGAGACAAACATCAGAACATTTCGGAAGAACATCGAAAAGGAGACACGTCGTATCTGGAAGAACGTCAGATAGACATGACACGAAATAGTCGATGGGTGCCAAGTAAACTGGACTTTGTCCACAAGGTAAGACGCGGATAAAACACGACCTCGGGGAGAAAAATGCAAATGGGGATAAAACACCCATGCTGCCAAGTAACTAAATTCGTCCACAAGGTAAGACGCGGATAAAACACGACCTCGGGGAGAAAAATGCAAATGGGGATAAAGCACCCATGATGCCAAGTAAATAAATTCGTCCACGAGGTAATACGCGGGTAAAACACGACCTCGGGGAGAAAAATGCAAATGGGGATAAAGCACCCATGATGCCAAGTAAATAAATTTGTCCACAAGGTAAGACGCGGGTAAAACACGACCTCGGGAGAAAAAGCAAATGGGGATAAAACACCCATGATGCCAGGTAAATTGGACTTTGTCCACGAGGTAATACACGGGTAAAACACGACCTCGGGAGAAGAAGCAAATGGGGATAAAACACCCATGATGCCAGGTAAATTGGACTTCGTCCACGAGGTAATACGCGGGTAAAACACGACCTCGAGAGAAAAAGCAAATGGGGATAAAACACCCATGATATGCACATGTGTATAAATCATGCTATGATAGATGATCAAATGACAATGCAGATGTCGACGACAAGGCTTGAATCTGTTGGTAAGATGAAAAGACTGGAAAACTGATTCCTCAACCCGGAGATCACTGCCACTTGCTAAATTGTAATCAGGTTAATGGTCCTCGTAGGAAGGATGGAAAGCCGCTTGGAGATCTTTCAAGTAAACTGCCCCAAATTAAATTGTCCATTACAGATGAACTGATAATTGCTTCAGCTTGTCTGATTCTGAAAATGACTGTTTTATTGTACCCTCGGAAGGTTTGCCCCAGTGTGAGTCTTGGAAAAAAAACTTTGGATAAACCAAATCTGAGAAGATCTTGTCTTGAACAAATCTTGAACTGATTCTTTGACAGGATGTAAAAGGAACTTGCCCCTGATAAGATCACTTGACCAAGTTTCTCATTGTTTAAAAATTCCTTAGAGGAAAGCCAGTTTGCAAACAAAAATATTCATACAAACATGGTAATGCAAAGTTCATGCGACTTTTGAAATCAAAATTATTTTTGAAAAATGAAAAATAAGTCGTTGGTCAGAACACGGTGGTTCAAGACGCTCAAAATTTAAAACAAAAGTGTATTGCCAAAATAAATGATTCACAAAGATCTTTTGGAGTCAGGTTACACAACCTTATTGTAGTATACTTTCAAAATAACCTTGCTTCAATTAGGTCTTTTGAGGGTTGTAACGTGGTCTGGTTCATGGTTTATGAAACAAAGGATAAAGGCTCAAAATTTCTTTATACCCACCCCATCTACATGATGATCTCCAGTCCTATGCTCAGTTAACTCCTATTATGCATTCAGGTTCGTATAGATTAGGAATTGCACTGATGGTAGCAATGATGGTTCAGAAGTCAATGGACCTATGAAAAGCAGCCACTACCTCCTTATGATATTTGGTCATTTTGACATTGAGGATTTTCAGGGTAAAGATTTAAAACTCCTCTTTGTATTATCCCTAAATTTTGCCTGAACTGTTTATTTTGAAAGTTATAGTCAGCGGGATGCCCTAGTTTTGCATAAGTCTCCTTCATAGGTTTTGACTTAGCGGGCTCTTTCTTTTGATTTTTTATTTTGAAACATGACTGCCTGGTTTAATGATTACGGTGAACCATCATCGGTGTTTTTGACTTAAAAATAATCTTCGACACTTGTTTGTTGTGTGTGAAGGAAAATTGTAAGTGCGACCTTTATATGAAAGGTATATTGCATGAACACATAACCGAGTTAACTGAGAACTACCCATCCCCAGGTTAAAATTGCGGGTTTTTTTTTGTTTTGTAAAGAAAGGAACTCCAACTTCTAGGCTCGAAGGGGGTGACAAGGGGATAACTTCCTTATTTCTTCAGTGTTTGGGAATTGAAACAATGCCTTACATCGTCAACAAGGTTTGATTGAAAGCATACTGACAGCAAGTATGGGTATAACATTATCATCATCCTCCCTCCAATCTTCGCATACCAAAAATTCGGACAAAAGTAAATATTTGAAAGATAAAGCATAGAGATGAAAATAATAGATAAAATGAATTAATTCAAAAGTTGCAATGCTCAGTTCATTAATATAAAAGTACAAACATCGTTCGAAAGCAAACAACTAATAAAATAAGGAAAATACAAACAATGAGAAACAAAAGCCTGGTGATGCCTGCTTTCAACTCATCAATCTCCATTCGGACCTCCGCATTATGTTCCTCTTGTTCTGACATTTGGCGTCTATAGTTAGCTCTAGTCCGATATCTGTGTCGAGGAATCAGCTTGACGACTCAACAGAACACTGGGAGATAAAGACAACTGGACATGAGAAACCCGGGGAC